CCCCAAGCGGCCCCAGGCCCAGCGCTGCCGCCTCTGCCTGAGTCACTTCTCGGCATCTTGCGTTTCAGGCCTGGGACGAGTCGTCCAGTCCAGACAGGTGGACGCGGGCAGTGCCGGCCTCCTGCTGTCTCGGTGCTCCGGCCCGGCCCAGCGGCCCTCCGGGCGTGGCCTCTGCGTCCAGCGGGCTTATCTGCTGCTGTCAAGAGCTGACCGCGGGCTTGGGGGTGCCGAGCTCTGGGGTCTCCTCTCCGAGGCCCTGCCCCGCCCGTGCTGCGTCCCCCTGGGCCCGAGCGGGACCCCAGCCACTCATTTGCAGCCTGTTACGGGCAGTAGAAGCTTTTTGGCTAAGACCCCCCTGCGGGCCTTGGCTCCGCCCAGCGCCCACGCGAGCTTGCGCCGCCCACCCGCGGTGGGTCCGCCCCCGCAGCCTGAGCCCGCTTCCCAGCCCCTGGCGGGCCCAGGCAGGCCAGAGCGGCCTCCCGGCCTCCCCGCAGCCCTAGTCTACCCCCTGGGCACAGGTGTGCACGCTGGCCACGCCCGCCGGCCACGCCCAGACACCGGTCAGGCCCACTCCCAGCCCGGCGCCTTCCACTTTAACAAGATCAGCGCAGGTGGTGGCCGGAGGCCAGTGGCGGCCAAGTCCATCCACTCACCCAGCTGCCTGGCTCCCACCTCGGGTCTGTGTCCGGCGCTGGGGAAGGACTTGCTGCTCTGGGCAGCGAGGACAAGCCCCCACCGCCGGCCCGCACCCACGCCCGGCCTGGGGTGCCACGCCTGGTGCCTCCAGCCCCCTTCCCGCTGGGCCGTGCCAGGGCGGCCTGGGCTGGCAGGGGATTCGTCTGGGAGGCCCGTGCCTTCATGCGGGACGTGCAGCGTGGCCACCCTCGGGGCCAGCCGCTGTCTGCCACCGGCACCCGCTTGCCCTTGCAAGGCCCAGCCCAGCGTCTCCCCAGAGGGACCCAAGAGACTGCTGCGTTCACAGCCCAAGCCAGAGGCGCGCCCTGTCCCGTGAGGGGCGGCCCCCCAGGTGTGTGGGGGTGGGGTTCCGCGGCCATGGGCGGGCCACTGGCCTCGGGGCCGCCCTGAGCCTAGCCGCGGGCTTTGTCCAGGCGCCATCTGGCCCTGCAGTGCTGGGCTCCTGGTCCACGAGCTCCTGTCCATCTCCTGGGGACGCTGCCTGGCCTGCCTGGCCGTTTCAGGTACTGTTTCCACTTTGGGGCCACCCTAGCGATGAGGCTGGGGGCCGCCCCCCACCCTGCCCACACCTCACGGATACGGTCTGGGTGACACGTCAGAGCCCCTCGCGGTCAGCCCTGGCTGGCCTCTTGTGGCCTGGGCACAGGCTCCATGCCCTCTACAGAGACAGCTCTGATGGCCATCGGCCATGGCCCTCTCGCTGACCCCTCAGTCAGCTCACCTGCCCCCCGCCACCCTGGCCCGTGAGGCCGGGGGTGCGGCCGCCATCCCATCTGGGGATGGCCGTGATCCTCCGGCCCTCTGGGTCTTTCTCAGCGGTGTCTGATTGAGCCTGACACAGTGAGGTCAGTGCTGACAGTCCTGTCTGCCCATCTCTGACCTACCCAGGGGTGTCCAGCAATCCTGTCCTCGCCCACCGGCAGGCCCCGCAGACTCTGTCCCGCGCCCCCCGAATACCGCGGTCTCCGTCTGCTGGCACCCGCTCACTGACTCACGGCCCCGCCACCCGGCGCCCAGGGCCTTTGCTGGGCCTTGGCTGGCCCTCCGCTGGCCACTCCTAGCTCCAGGGCCCGGGGTGCCTGCTGGCAGCTGGCTGAACAGTCTGTTTCCTGCGCGCCAGGTCTGCACCTGTGGGGCCCGTGTGCACTGCGGAGGTGGGAACGTCCACCGTGCCCGCTGTCCCCGCAGTCAGACCCTCCGCCGCCGCCCTCTTCCAGCTCTGGCGCTGCCCTCCCTTCCCGGCCACCTGCTCTCTGGGTGCTTGTCCAAGTGGCTCTGCTGGGGCTCAGCCCC